TTGTTTCGCCACTAGAACAACGTTGGCTAGCCACTCTGAATAGGAGACCTCTTCGATGAAGCCGGCGGCTAAGAGCTTGTCGATCTCGGCTTCAATGATTGTGACCTGCTCTGGGGCGAAGTTGCGTCTCTTCTGTGCCACTGGCTTGCTAGCAGGGTTGACGTGGAGTCGATGGCAGAAGATGTTTGGGTCGATGCCTGGCATGTCTGACGGTGACCACGCAGACATGTCCTTGTTGTTCTGGGGGAAGGTGGTCAGCTCCACCTTCTCGTTTGGGCTTAGGCGCGAGCCGATCCGCGTTTTTCTGTCTGGCTGGTCAGGATGCAAGAGTATTAGCTCGACGTCCTCTTTGGGTTTCCATCCTTCTTCAGGAGAGACCTCCGGACGGATTTCCTCGACTCGGTCCTGATGCTTTGATTGCTATAATGGGGTAGCTATTCCCTTCCCCTTTTGGCCTGCTCGGTTGCTAGGAGCGGGATCTAGCTGTTCTACTCCCTTCAGATCTGCCTGGTTCATAGGGAGGAACTGTGTTGGCTTGCTTTTCTTCAGCCCTTGAGCTGAGCATTTCCTCGCCATTGCCTGGTCGCTGTTGATCTGGCCGACACCGCCCCCAGGAATTGGGTAGCGGATTTTCTGATGTGTGGCAGAGGTGATGGCGTTGATCTTGCCGATCCATGGTCTGCCCAGGATGCCTTTGTAAGGAGAGACTTCGTCAATCACCATGAATGTTTGGGAGCTGATTATAGGTGGGGAGTAGACGTCGAGATCTATTGTGCCCATGGTAATCGTCGTTGCGCCATTGAAGCCAGTCAGCGACCTGGCTGATTTGTTGATCTTTGTTTGTAGGCCCATCTGCTGGATGACCGCCAGTTGCAGGATATTGGCCGCGCTGCCTTCGTCCACATGGATCCGGTCGACTATGGCCGGAGTGATTTGAATGCTGACGACAAGGGCGTCGTTGTGTGGCATATCGAGGCCGATCAGATATTTCTTCTGGAAGCCGATCACAGGGTCGTCCTCCGCCGGTGGAAGGTCGATCGAGACTTGGGAGACCACAATGGCCTGTTTGATCTTCCTCTTCTTTTCTTTGCTGGTCAGCCCAGATTCCTCGGAGTCGGCTAGGATTGTGTTAATCCTTATGACCTTCTGAGGTGGCTCCTTGGCGACATCACGATCCTCAGTCCGCTGGATGGCCTGCTTCGCAATAAATTCCATGCAATGACCTTTTCTCACGAGTTCTTAAAGGTGCGCTTTCCAAGCGAAGCAGTTGTTCGTAGTGTAACCGTGCGTCCCATGGAAGGCATAATATTTTCTGGTATCCCTCTTGTCCGGATCTCCCTTCAAGGGTGGCGGTCTTCTTACCCAATGTTTGTCCTTCACTTGGGCTAAGATTTGATGTATGGGGATGGAGAACTTGGTGTAGTTCTCTCTTGCCATAACATCCCCTTGTGGGTGTGACTGGCGCTTGTCCTTGTTCCTGTTGCTAAACCCGTCGCTTCTTTGGCCTGCCCGCTTAGTCGGCTGATCTTCCTTCTCAGTAGACTTCTTCACAGTGATTCAATCATCATCCTAGAGCGCATAGCTTTCCACGGTCGCGAAGACCTTTGCCAGAGTCTAGCTAGGAGTGATAGTCAATTCGCGGTATAAGTCGTGTTCAGCTGGAAGGCCTTTCTTGAAAGCAGAGGACGCGATCCGATCGTCACATCCTACAATGTTGGCATTTTCTGCTTTGAATCTCTTGATGTAGTCTCGAAGCGATTCGTCGGACTTCTTGCGTAGGTTGTACAAGTGATCAGGGTTCTTCTTGATCGTCGGGTAAGAGGTGTATTCTTTGGTGAAGACGTAAGCCAGCTCCTTGAAGCTGTTGATCGACCTGGAAGGTAGAGTGTGGAACCAGTCTTGGGCTACTCCTCGCAAGGTCATTGTAAACACCTTGCACATCAGCGCATCGTCAGCCTTGTAGAGGATCGTGACACTTTTGAAGTGTTTTAGGTGGCTCTCGGGATCCGAATCCCCTTTGAAGTGTGTGAACGACGGCGTTGAGAATCGCTTCGAGGGAGCAGCTTGCTCGATTTCCGCTGTGAAAGGCGTAGAGTTTACCTGGTCCATCTCCTTACGTAGTGCATCTTCGAAGTTCCCGCCGGTCTTCAAGTCTTGAAGTCGGTCATTCACAAGCTTCTCAACGTCTTCGGCACACATTTCTGGTTGGCCACGCTGACAACCTTCGCGATTGGGGCGACGCTGATTGACCTCCTTGTTGATTCGCAAGGTTTGACCTTCTCGGCTGTGTTGCCTAAGCGGTGTGTTGGTGGACTGCACTTGCGAAGGATTTTCTGTAGTTAGTTGATGAGGATCGACTCTTCGAGAGTGAGCACCGGAGTGCCTTTCCTCATGGTCCTCACTGTGAGGGTTATCAGGTTGACCTCCCTCGGGGCCTAGCCTTTTGTGAATGTTCCGCTACGAGTGCGCAGCGGTGCGCCTTTCTTCATGGTCCTCATTGTGAGGGTTATTAGGTTGACCTCCCTGGGAGCCTAGCCTTTGATGAACATTTCCCTGTGGGCCCAGGCGGGCGCGGATGTCAAGTCATGGGCCCAGCCTTTCGCGCACGTTGTTCCTTAAACTCAATTGGTGGGTGACTTCGTCTGCTCTAAGTGTGGCTCGCGGATGCTTGCGACATGTCAGCAAGCCGATCACGTTGTTGTCCCTCTCCTTGTCTGCTTATTCCTGCTCGACTTGCTTGGTACCCATTGAGCTGCCTATCGGCGCGTTCGTCCATCCTTTTCTCTTTGCCCAGTGTTCCAAGACTAAGGTTTTGAGCCAAATTTATTTGGTTGAGGAGCTGCCTTATTGCTTTGGTCGTCCATTCTCTGAGCTAGCTGGTCAACTCTCATATTAAGGTCTACTTGACTTCGTGGATCGGGAGGAGAGAAGTGTGTGGAGCCCAATTGCATACGGGCTAGGGTTTAATGGGAGGTGTAAACGGGAGCGTGCGTCGAGCATGGAGGCAAGTCGGCGGTGGTAATGAGCCCACCTTGATGGGAGGTTGCACCATGCTCTGTTGTGGAGCCATGAAGGTGGCTAGATCCAGCCATGGGGCCTTGGGTTGACATGGCGATGGTAGTGGCTAGTGTGGTGGTCTCAACTGCGAGTCTGGTAGGTGGCACGGTGGTGAGAGGGGGTGGTGCCACCATGTCGATCGCGGGATCGTGGGTGGAGTGGCGGTTTTGCCCCTTGTCTTCTTGCTTCCAACCATGGTTGTTTGGAAGGCTTCGGTGGATTGAAAAATAGGTTTGGAGCACGCTTTGAGTATATCTCATGCTCTCAATGAAAGCACCAATTTGTGGGAGCAATTTCTTCCCACGAGAATATTCGATTGAAAGATCCCCCATTCTTTTTTACCGCCTCTTTCTCCCTGCAAAATAGATCGAAATAAGAGGACCACACCCGGGGGGTGTTGGCCAAAGGCCCTCCGATGCCTAAGTTAGTTCAATTGATTCGTAGAGAAAACAATAACTAAATAGGGTATATATATATATATATATGTAAGGTGTAAGCCGGGTGGCCAGAGCTGTGAGTGGTGGCCGGAGCCTTGTGTAAAAGGGAGAAAGAGTATGGCGGCTTTCTTCGTTTTTGGGCCACTCACCATGGTGATTTGAGAACTTCGGATTGATGATGGAATCAATGAATGAGGGGGGGGAAACGAATTTCCCTTGATTTGGATTCGAGAGCATCGCATTGAGTATATCTCGAATCTCTCAATGAAAGCACCAATTTGTGGGAGCAAATTTCCTCCCAAGGGAATATTCGCCAAAAGATTCCTTCGTCTTCTCCGCCTCTCTTTCTCCCTGCAAAATAGAACAAATAAGAGGACCACACCCGGGGGGTGTTGGCCAAAGGCCCTCCGATGCCTAAGTCAGTTCAATCGATCTGAAGAGAAACGATAGCTAAAATAGGGTACGGAGTTATATGTGTTTATGGGGTAAACCGGGCGGCCGGAGCCTTATATAAAAGAGGGAGAGAAAGGAGGTGGCTAGGGTTTCTGAGAGATAAATTCTGCAGAGTTTCAGTAGGAGTTTAGACGTACCTCAACCTTTGTATGTGGCCATCCTTTTATAGAGGTCTCGGGAGCTAGGGTTTCAGAGGAATAATTCCGTAGATGGAAGGGAATTATTCCTCCCCAATTTGGCGAGATTTCACTAATTTAATTAGGTAACTCCTCCATTAATTGAGAATATTCGTAGGAATCAAATCAATCATCAACCTAATCAGGTAATATCCGATTTAATTAGATAATCCCTAATTAAATCGAACAATTCCCAATTAGGTCAAATAATCCCCAAATGGAAGGAATTATTTGACCTAGGTTAAGGATTAATTCGGTTCCCACACATAACACCTCATGTTCTTGCCTATGTTCATCAAGGAAATAAAAAAACCAGTCACTATTGTAGAGAAGTTAGTTGTGAAAGGATCCGGTGGACCAAAAGGCTTTCTAAGGGTCTATCGATCCATCGAAGACAACCTGGATGAAAATGACGCTTTAATCATACATCACATGCATGGAAATCCCTGCCTATCTGTAATATATGGAAGAAGTTTACGGTGGGAGCTCGGTTTGAATTGAACAGAAGAAAACCAGCTAGTCTCACCTAAATGATTGCAGAATCTTAAATACTGATTCAGCTCTGAATCTATGGTTACCTTGATGCTTTCCCCATCTCAAAATTCTATACCAAATGAACCAAAATCTTATATAGCTCTAAGATTTTTTGCCTTCAAAACATATAGCTGGCGTACTATGCATACACGAAACCTATTTCACCCATTTTAAAAGTTCTGTTCCAACTTCAATATGATGTCAAGCTATTACAAACTGTCTAGGATATTTGGACAAATTGAACCTAAACTTAGGCCTCATGAAACTGCCAAGATATAATAGTTGAAATTCTTTACCCCAGCATAACAAGGCAACCAAATAACGCAACAATCGAAGTAACGTATAATACCAAATCAAAGTCATACTAAGCTTTCATTCAAACATAATAGTCTACCAAATTCCAACCCTAAATCACTACCAAAAAGGTGTAAGTAAAGTTCTACACCCTATTCCACTAAAAGGAAAAAAAAGAAAGAAAAAAGTTCTAAACCACATTAGAAATAGTAACAGATACATCTGATCTTAAACATCACCCCCACGAAGACGAAGCACTAGGTGCAGGGTAGACTCTTTCTGGATGTTATAATCAGCCAGGGTACGTCCGTCCTCAAGTTGCTTCCCAGCAAAAATGAGCCTCTGCTGATCCGGAGGGAAACCCTCTTTGTCTTGGATTTTAGCTTTCACATTGTCAATTGTATCAGAACCATCAACATCAAGAGTGATTGTCTTCCCAGTCAGAGTTTTGACAAAAATCTGCATTCCACCACGAAGGCGAAGGACAAGATGCAAAGTAGATTCCTTCTGGATATTATAATCTGCCAAATGTTGGGGAAACACCAGTTTCCCCCCACGTCACAGCACAACCGATGGAATAAATAAACAAACAAACCAAGCTGCTCAAGATGACAATGAGTAAATACATGAGAGAACACACCAAGAATTTACGAGGTTCAGCAAAAACCTGCCTACATCCCCGGACAGTATTGTTAGTTTTTCACTATGAGAATATTAACCGTACAAAATACATATTGAGTTAAATCAACATAACTCAATATAACACTCAAGAGTTTTATACCCAAACCCGAGTCCCTTGTACACCCACTCACAGTATTTCCCAAAACTCACTGTCACTCCCCAAGAGATATACCCTCTCTTGAACCTTTGATGAGCCCAGCTAATTTCCAGCTGAAACATCCTCCAGGAATTCATGGGACTGCTTGCTTGCATCTCACAAGCAACCCACTCTCCCTCTCTGCCGTGCTCTCTCTCTGGTGCCTTTCTTTGGTGTGGCTGAAGCACACCAGCCCACACCCTCATGCCTTTGGTGCAGCTCACATGCACCCTTCCATGGCTTCCTGGAGTTCCCCACATCTCTGCCGTGGGTTCTCAAACTCCCTCTCTTTAGCCATATGGTGCGACACAAGCACACATGCACACTCTTATCTCACATCCTTGCATGCCCATTATATAACCAAATGAAAGGGCTGATTTTTTATCACCAAAAAACAGCCCACGTGCTTGCCAAAGAAACCAGCCGCATGCCCAAGGAAGCCACAATGATGTTGGTCAAAGAATCTCACCCATCATTGCACCTTGTCTCCCACCAAAGACATCATTAATACAAAAACTATTCCTCCACTAAGGAGGAAACCCAAGGCGCCGAAAGCATGTGCAGCTCCCCCCATTTTTCTTTTCCTTTTCAGCCATCAATTAATGACCATGCATGCATATCCCATACATGCATCCGTGTGATTTCCAAAGGGAAAAATACCAGCCGCACATCTTGACTCCACTAAGGAGGGATTTCCAACACCAAAGTCCTGCCATCCTCAAGCTGCTTTCCTGCAAAAATAAGCCTTTGTTGGTCAGGTGGGATCCCTTCCTTGTCTTGAATCTTTGCCTTCACATTGTCTATGGTATCAGAGCTCTCCACATCAAGAGTGATGGTCTTGCCCGTCAAGGTCTTAACAAAGATCTGCATACCACCTCGCAAACGGAGAACAAGATGCAAGGTGGATTCCTTCTGGATGTTATAATCAGCAAGGGTCCTACCATCCTCTAGCTGCTTTCCAGCAAAAATGAGCCTCTGCTGGTCAGGAGGGATTCCTTCTTTATCTTGAATCTTCGCCTTGACATTGTCTATGGTATCCGAACCCTCCACCTCCAGAGTGATGATAGTCTTTCCAGTCAAAGTCTTGACAAATACTTGCATCCCACCCCTTAGTCGAAGAACAAGATGCAAAGTAGATTCCTTCTGGATATTATAATCTGCCAAAGTCCTGCCATCCTCAAGCTGCTTTCCTGCAAAAATAAGCCTTTGTTGGTCAGGTGGGATCCCTTCCTTGTCTTGAATCTTTGCCTTCACATTGTCTATGGTATCTGAACCCTCCACCTCCAGAGTGATAGTCTTTCCAGTCAAAGTCTTGACAAATATTTGCATCCCACCCCGCAATCGAAGAACAAGGTGCAAAGTAGATTCCTTCTGAATGTTATAATCAGCCAAAGTCCTACCATCTTCCAACTGCTTTCCAGCAAATATAAGCCTCTGCTGGTCTGGTGGAATTCCCTCTTTGTCTTGTATCTTAGTCTTGACAATATCAATAGTGTCCGAGCTCTCCCTTGACATTGTCTATGCTATCCGAACCCTCCACCTCAAGAGTGATAGTCTTTCCAGTCAGCGTCTTAACAAATATTTGCATCCCACCCCTTAATCGAAGAACAAGGTGCAAAGTAGATTCCTTCTGGATGTTGTAATCGGCCAAAGTCCTACCATCTTCCAACTGCTTTCCAGCAAATATAAGCCTCTGCTGGTCAGGCGGAATCCCCTCCTTATCCTGTATCTTAGTCTTGACAATATCAATAGTGTCCGAGCTCTCCACCTCAAGGGTGACAGTCTTGCCGGTAAGGGTTTTCACAAATATCTGCATGCCACCCCTTAAACGAAGAATCAAATGCAGAGCGGATTCTTTCTGGATGTCATAGTCTGCCAGCGTCCTACCATCCTCAAGTTTCTTCCCAGAAAAGATAAGACTCTGCTGCTCAGGTGGTATCCCTTCCTTGTCCTTAATAAGGGCTTTCACATTGTCTACGGTGTCGTAGCTCTCAACTTCAAGAGGAATGGTCTTCCCTGTAAGTGTCAAACCAAAGATCTGCATCTGTACAGTACAACAGTTAGTAAGAATAAGAAACCTTAGAGGCCAAAACTTAGATTTGATTTTCTTCCACAGATTACAACAAAAAACCAAAACAGAGGCCTAAAATTCAAAGATATATTAATTCTAACTACAATCTTTAATAGGGTAACAAAGGTTTACATACTCAAATTATCTGCAATTCTTACGCAGATCACAAGCATAATCAACGAGCATGCAGTAGAAGACGTACCTTGAGAATCTGAAAACCAACGATGAACAAACCCTAGAAATCCTAGTGAGAAAATTGAGATTTTTTGTTGTTGTTTGGTTGCTCTGTTAGCTTTTTTGGCTCTGTGATTTTTGGGAATTGGGGGGGTGAGAGGTAGGTGGTATTTCTAGGAACGGGAGGGAGTTAAAAACAGTTTAGGGATTGGAGCGCGCTAGCGGGAAGTCAGGTTATTTCTTCGTGCCCAAGACTTGTAGAACTTTCTGGACTCCCTCTCTCTCCACCTTTTGATTCTTTTGCGTCTACCAAGTATTTTCTGAAGAAAACTGTTTCTGAAAAGGTTTGGTTTTTATGTAATTACACGGATGGCATAACTATAAAATTCCATTTGATTTGATTATTAACCCAAAAGTGCTTTTAAAATAGTGTAGTTTACCATAGCCAACCCAAAAATAAACTACGCAACGGGAAGTTGAATTTCAATCAAACTTAAAGTCAAAGAGCCAAACAAACAAATGGTTTAGGGTTTAATCATCCAGCAACAATTGCAATAATACGTCCTATTGATCGAAATCTGACATACAGGATGATTCCGAATCACAAGCAGTTGGGAAACAGATTATTTCAACTTTTGTTTTTTCTTTCGGTAGCAGTATACATAACTACAGTACTATGAGTCGAGTTTGCTGCCTACTTCCTAGTTCTAAGAAATTACAAGTACAACAACAAAAATAAAATTGGCTACTACCAGAGAACAAATGCCCATTGTTTCTAAAATTGTTATGATCAGTGATTATGGTGTCAGTTGCGGTCGTGATGCTCTCACCACTGCCTCCCTATACCTCCAATTCGACGAGCCAGCTCGAAATCCTTCTTCACTGAGGAAACAAAAGCAAATGAAACAGGTTTGTTACAATATTGTGTGCAATGTAATGGTACAACCGTCAAAGACTGGCTGAAACTCAAAGCAGAAGATGTAACAGTGCCAACTGATAAAGGTTTGACACATTTAGGGCAATTACAACAGCTTATCGGATAGTTAATCAAATGATACAGAAAGTAGTACTGCACATCCCTTTTGAGTGCATCAAAACTCATTTTGCATTAGTGTAGTATTTAAAATCATGGTTCCAAAAGAGATTAGTGCTGCTGAAATAGGCATATGAAATGCTAAATCATCTTTCATTTAAGGAAGCTCCTCTAATACCAAAGATTCATTAAATTGAATATAATCTGTTCTTTGAAGGAAAAAAAACAGAAAAGAGTGCAAGCTTTCATAGTTTAGGCAATATCTCACTACAAGCATCAGTCACAACTAGTAAGTTTTACATCAGCATTAGGAAAAAATCAATTAATTACGCAAATTTACTTACTAAGAGTGACACGCTTTGCATGAATTGCACAGAGCATGGAATCTTCAAACAGATGAACTAAATAATCCTCTGCTGCCTACAAAAGAAGAAAATACCAATAAGCATGAATGGCTTGCACAAAGGATTGCTATAGTGGCCTATGGTTACATGGTATGCTTGGGATAATGAAAAGAAATTCCTGCAACCAAATCCAAGCAGTTTGTTGGATAGGCTTGATTTGTTGAGTAGAACAATAGTGGTAGTAACAAGAAACTATAGATTGTTATCAAGAACAGTGTTCTAGTTTCAACAGAATGAGTAAGGCCTTAAGAATCTTGGGTTGGCAGCAATGCCATTGTGTAATCAAAGCATACAATAAACAGAAAATTGGAAGGAAGTATCCAATGCACTTCCATGATGCTTATGGTACCTATGGCATAGCATCACTCATCGAGTCTGAAATTGGATAAACAAGATGATGGATAAACAAAATGATGCTAGGACTTACTGAAATTGGAATGCAGACATTTACTAGTTTATTAAACAGATTGAAAAGAGGAAGGGGGTAAGACAAGTAGCCTTTGCATGGTTATTCTGTTACATGCAACCACATTTAAAATATTTATTCACCTCTTGAATTGCTAATAAAGCATCAGGTGTCCAACGTATAGAACCATGAGACAGATTGTTGGAGACCTCTCTTACCTAAAATTAGTGACAAAATTGTCAGCATTGTGTGATCAAACCTCACTAGCATAATTAGTCCATCAAATTTAATAGATAATATCAACCTACACAAAGTTAACAAAGAAAGAAAGCATATTCTTTTGCACAATCCAATGTTAGCCTGACTAACAAAGCTTACTTAACTCTGAGATTGCAAAGATGTAAAGTTCAACTTGTTTATACAAATTAAAATGAGAAAATCAAATCGACATCAGAAGGAGAACAGAATTTGTTAAATCTGCAAGTACACAAACATCATGAATAAATTGAAAACACAAAACTGAGTTTCCATGCCAACAAATAAAAAGTTCTCTGATTGTGCAAACAGATAGTTGACTCAGCATTTAACTCCTAGCACTAACACTACCTAACATTTCTTATCTATCTGTTCATGTCCTTTTGTGTGGGCCTCATGTACCTATTTGCACAAGCCCCTGTATATGTGGGTGCAAGTGCGTATATACATCAATCAGCGGGATAAGGACTCACAGCTCTGATGAAAGGAGCAGCTGGGATAAGCAACGAACATGTCTTCTGGAAGTGACGAATCTCCCGAAGAGCCACTGTTCCTGGCCTGAAACGCCGCTTCTTCCTCTGTGTTTCTGGAGCTATAGATGCAACAACAAATAATCGTTCACAATCAACTTATTTCCACTACTATCATTACCACCACAATTATCAGCATCAAACAAATAGAGAAACAGATAAATAAATATGAAATATATATATTTACTTGTGGGAGCATCCCTCTGAGGTCGCTTCTTCTTCTGTGTTCCTGGAGCTATAGATGTAACAACAACAATCATTCAAAATCAACTTATTTCCATTACCCTCACCACCTCCATTGTCCGCAACAAACAAATCTAAAAACAGATAAAATAAGGAAAGCATATTTACTTGTCGGGCTGTTCCTCTCTGATCTCTGCGTTCTTCCAGAAGGTTCCTTCAATTTATTAAAAATATAAAAGTAAAATAAGCCAATAAGGAATGTCAAAATTATAAATATAAATTTTTCGTCACCAGATTACAGATAAGTGATAAGTTTGGTTGGTTTACCACTACATTCAAGAGCTAAAACTATGATATAGACTAACTATAGATTCATATTCAAACACTCCCCTCAAATATGATTTTAACTCGAGTAGGTCAACTATTGATTTTATTCAAATAATAAGAAATGAGATAAAAGAATAGAGATATAAACCAAAAATAGAATACTAAGTTTTGTCAATGGCTTAAATGCTATAGAATTTGTTTATAAAAAAATCAAAATCAATGATATAATAGACATAAACCATATGCACCTTGCTTGAATGCTTTTCCTTTCTTATTTATATATTTTCTACTTACCAATGTTTTCATAGCAACCAAACAGAAAAAATGAATAGACTAGTAATTTGTTCCACCAAATATCATTAAAGTGCAAAAAAAAAAAAAAAAACAAACCGGAGAATTAGCACCCAACACTAAGCTCCGTTCGGCAAATAAGTAAATGCAGGTAAAGAAATTTAATAATTCCCAAACCAATTTCCCCGATTCCCCTCCTCGCACTCCTCTTTCCCAACTTTTCCAAGTAACCAAACACATGAAAAACAACAGCCGTAATTAACGAGAATGAAGTACGAAAAAGAGAGAGAGAGAGAGAGAGTACCGGTTGTTTTGCAGGTGATGGCGCCGGTGAGCGTCCGCCTGTAGATCAAAACTGAGAAAATTAGGGTTTGTGAAACGCATAAATCATAATCCTCAAGGCATACAAACAAATTACAAATGCATATAAACGAGAGAGAGAGAGAGAGAGAGAGAGAGACCAGGTTGGTTGCGAGAAGATTTATTGTCTTTCCGGTTAGCTGTATGTTTGACTCTCGCCATTGATTTCTGGAGCGCGGAGTTTGAAGCACAGAAGGAAGGAGAGGGAAAGCCAGACTAAAGAGAAGACATCCTTTTTTTTCAGAGCAAAAGTCAGATTTCTATTTGTTGAAGCCCTCTCAGACTCAGAGTTAGATCCTCAGAGGCATCATCTGCTCTGCACCGACCAACTTAGCAACTTAACAACTTAGCAACTGCGAAATAGAAATTAAAACATTTCTGATTTTAGTAATTAAGTGAAAATAAAAATACTTCCCGCTCGATTGCATTTTGATTTCGCGTCCGTTTGAGAATGCAGTGCATCACTAGAAACGGTGACGTTTTGTTGTCGATGAGGCATAGGTCAAAAAAACAAAACAAAATTGGATTGCCACCTCAGCAAAATGGTCTCCAACGGTATCATGTATGTATGTGACAAGTTTACAACGGGGATGGTAAACTGCAAAATAAAATATATTAAATAAATAAATAAAAAGATAACTGAAAACATCGGGAGACCAATGGTAATTATTTTTCTTAAATGTGACAAGTTGACAACAGCCAGTTTTTTCGAGGCACCAAACCAATACAAATAGAGTTCTATCAAGAATAAAACTGGTTTGCTTCAGTCCACCCAAAAAAAAACCAATGAGGTATATTTCCGTTCTATCTCCACTTATGTGGGCAGAGATTCGAAACCCCCTCCCCCCAATTGCTTGTACTGAAAATACATTGTTTTAATTATTATTTTTACTTTTTTATTTCTAGTAGTTGCTCTTAGGCAAGCAATCAGTCATTATTATGCCTGTTCCAAAAACCCTTCAGAGATACTATTTATGGAGAATCCAAACAGAGCTAATACATGAAGAGGGCTACTTATGGAAAACTACAAATATCCACCTGATTTTACAAATAGTGTATTTAAGCAGTGAGAAAAACGCAAGAAGAGGGCTACTTCTGGAAAACTATTTTATCCAACTCATGAGTGTTATATATCTTCAGAGAAATGTAGCCTCCAAAACTTCATGTAACACAGCAACAGGAGCATAAGTTGCACAACTAATAGTGTAGCTCTGAAGATTCCTAGATAAACAGCTTGCTGCTTTGAGATATGTCTTTAGGGCTGGGATGGGCGGGGAGACGCTGGAGGCTTGAAATCGGGATACTGCAACCATAAATACACAAAAGAATTAAGATTTGGTCTAGTCTTCCACAAAATAATCAATCATCATGAGGCTTGATAAAATTTTAAAAAAAAAATCAAATAGCAACTGAAGTGAAGAATTACATAAGGGAATGGAGAAAGTGGTTTCGAAATCCCAGGTAGTGATTCTGCTTTAACTTCTGGTTTGGGCACTGAATTTATTTCAGGAGCAGCTTCTGCTTTCTGTACAGTATCATTAGCAGCAGTAGGCTCTGGGGTTGCTTCTGCAGGTGCAGGAAGAGCTTTGCTAGTCACAGACACTGGCAGAAGAGCTGTACCGATTTGCTGAAATTCAAGGAAATTGAGGATAAAGACAATGGAATTTAGTATATTCTAATTTCAAAAGAAAAGGGAAAAACAAAAATATCTCTAGTCTATGATGCATTTAATTGAAGAATCTGTTGAAAATGCTGAAAACACATTTATAATCTCATACCTTTATGTCATCAACAAGGTCCTTAGGGGCAACCTTGGTGGTTAAGAACTTATCAACTTCTTGTAGAGTTGCTTTTCGATCCTATCAGAAAAAAGCAACTTAGGTGATGTGAAGTTGAATGTTAATCCTCAAGTTTTCAATTCTTATTTAAGACAGTAACTTCTCTCTATGATTAAGGAGATACATACAACACAAACATGCATGCATGAGCTTTGCAGCTTCAAACTTATGATGAGTTTGACCTTTGTCAAAAGGATAATTTAAATTGAAGGGATGCAGACTGTAAGACTGAAAATAACTAAAGGGAAACAAGCCGTATTAGCCAGGATGATGAACGTTGGGTAATATGTGTTATTTCAAAGATTTACATTCTTATCAACCACAGTAAAACTTCCATCAAATAACTTCTTGAAAGTAAAAAATAATAATAATAGGAGACTCACCTCAGCAAAAAGGAGTTTCTTGCTCGCAAACTGAACTAGTGCAGCTGAGCCTAAGACTTGGAGGATTGTTTCTAACTAGAAAGGTAGAGTGAAACAATCAGTTTGGAAGCTCTTCCAAAAGGATACATATCACACCAAAGGGCAAATCAAAAGATAAATTCAGTATGCAATAGACTTAGCAGCCCAACCTCAGCATAAGCCAATAAACCCAATCCAGTGGCTGCAGCAATCCCAAGGGAAACAGACAAGGCACCTGATCCTTCCTGTACATAATTTACCACATAGCTATGTAAGAATCCTGCTAAAAGAATCAAAATTCTTTTGAAGAGAATCATAAACTAGGGAATCAGTGAACAATGGCAGACATCAACAGATCCTTTTTTAAGAAAATATGAACTAGGGGTGGTGTGGATGTTTCAAATACATGCAGATGTTCTATTATGACTTCATTTTGCCTTTTCGTTTTTTATTTTCAGCCACATTTTCTATATATCTACGCATTTCTACTAAACTTTGAAGGCTATCAAACTTTTATCATCTGTCTTCAACTAATAACATCCCTGTTGAAAAGTACAAGATAGAGGTCAAATGGCACCATATAGTTCAACAAGGCAATAGATTTTCACGTATGCATTATAATTGAAAATATAGCAAACAACAAATGAAAGTCAAGATAATTACTCCAACTGCATCACCAATAGCATCCGCTAAATTGCCAAAATCAAGAGACAGTCCTTTTGTTGGTAGTGTCCAAGGAAGACCGCTATTCTGCAAAATGATAATCCGTGTCAAGGTACTAAAACTTGATAAGACTTGTATAGAAAGAAGGAGTAACTGTGGAAGGTAAATGGGACAGACCACCCATCCCCGGGGTCCTTCTGCGCCATCTTTTATGGCATACGCAGCTTTGAACCCATTTACAGTGACTAACTCTGCAACCAGTTCGGAGTTCCCATCAAATCTGGCTTCCATCAGAAATTAAGCAGCATTAGCTTCATGTATTGGCTTTTGGGATAACAAAAATCCAGTCACAAATTACTAGATTTGTCACAACATCACAAGCATGTTAAAATGGAATACAAGGAAAGAACAATATAATCAGGATCCAGTTCATGATAGAACTAAAATTGGAACGTCATCAAGCAGTTCTTTTCATCTCATTTATTTACTAAACGAAGTTATTCAGTTCAGCTTGATTCCATCCCTTTTCCCCACCCATTGGAAGCATTGCTTGTCAGAGAGGGGTTTGGAATGTTCACAACCAAAGTTGATATTATTGCACTGGCATATCACAATTTCTAGGAAATTGTAGGAAAACGAAGGTCTTTTAAGTGAAAAATGAGTTGCATTGTGTGAAATATCTTCTTCATGTAAAATGTTCCTTATCCAAATTAATTGTTTGTGTGAATTAATAGCATAATGTACGCTATCATGTAAAATCCCTTTTGTTGTTCAAATAGTGATGCCTACATAAATCAATTGCATAATGTACACTACCAGGCATTTGATAGTATCTTTTGAATTAGCTCGCCAATTGATGAGATATGAGGAATGAGGAATGAGGAAAGAAAAAACTACAGAATCGGGTGTCAAATCTTACTTATCTAGGACGAACAATGTGGTATTTTCTGGTTCCTTGAACTTCAAAGAAAGCTTCTTCAAGAAACCTGGCTTATCTTCACCTTTGTAAACAATTGGCACCGCCTTCTTCCCCAGACCCCGGACATCCGGCGTACCAACTTGCCTAAACTCAGCTGGTGCTCTGATATCAAGCAACTGAGCATTGGCATCATCACCCAATTTTGCATAAGCATTTCTTGCAGTATCAACACCCCATGGCTTGGGAGGCTTCAGAACCTGAGACAAAACCAAGGGAACAGCCAAAATGGCAAAACCACCAGCTATAACTGCAGGGTTCTCAGTCACAAAAGCAGTAACATTATCAAGAATCCGACTTGCTTCCAAGTCTCCACCTGTACTGGTACTCACAAATTGCCCCAATGCTTCTTCATATGTCAAAGCTTTGGCAAACCCAGTATTGAAAACAGAAGATAAAAGCAACAGGCCACCATGAAAGCTCCTAGATGACCACTCCTGTGAAGCTTGTGGGGTGCTAAGACTTGTGGGATTTGAGAATTTGGGTAGGGAAATGGTGGGCAGTGATGGAAATTTTCTGGGTTCTTTTTTTCTGTCACCAAGAACAGATAAGGGGGTCAAGCTTGCTGCATTGAGGGCCTCCATGGCATAATTATATGCAAGAAGCAGAGAAACACTCTTTGGGGGTCTCAGAAAACTGATGCAAAAGCCTGAAACATCATATGACCTTAGAGATGGATGGATGGTTTATGCAGAATTTTTGTTTCTTTCTAGGATGATGCAAGGCTTTACAAGCCTTAGCTTCAGCGGGTCCAAATTGACTGGTGCCTTTTGAGTGGAGGGTGGTGCTGACGTGTCATGCAGGATGAGAACTTGGCCATTCAACGCATGACACGTGGTAATTAAGGATTGCGGGGTAGTTGATCATTTTATGTTGTTGACGGCAAAGGCGTGATGACTTTGCGTTGAACATGTTTGTGTGGCTGAGAAAAAAAGTTCCCAGAAGTACTGAGAAACTGTGCAGCAGTACAGATTACAGTAAACCGGAAGTGGCTCCTAGAGCCTTCCCCAAACCTTAAGCCAAGGATTTAAAATTTGGGTTTACACTAAAATTTGTGATTGGATAACTCTATTTGAAATAACCAAAAATGAATTTCATCCCAAACTTCCCATCTGTCGTCAGAAATAGTTAAGATGCACTGAAAGGGCTAGCCTGCTTGCTAATTTTATCAGGTGGATAAGTAGCCTGGCCATTCAATTACAGTAAGAACTTCGAAGCAAGAAGGAAAAACCAAATCTGTTACATTCATCCATATGATCACAAAATTCTTTACAAGAAGATGTAATCCTAGTATTATTATTTTTCTTCAAATGTAGTGACCTGAGAATTCTTCAAACTATTGTCACCTCTAACTAAAACTTTGTTATTCCGTGGACAGAAAAGTTCAACCCAAAATGAACAAAATTTTGTTACGTGTAGAAGATCAAATGAGGACTGCTTCACAAAAGATCAAAAAAGTAATCCAGACCTTGCCCAATTTCCCATATCGAGATTCCACATCCCCATTTATGAGCTTCCTCTAGCCGCATGGAAATTGACATCAGGGATGGATAGAACACAGCGTGGTTGTTATATTCATCATCAGAGTAAAAGAACAAATGTTCTGCACTCTTCTTTTCCCATCGCAACGCAGGCCTGTGCTTCTCCAACAAGGACAGGTAATCCCTTCCAGTGACAGCACCACCACCTGGACCTGCATTTTTTTATATAACATTGAGTACTCTCATCATAAAATGAAAAACCAAGGAAGAATTCATTTGCATGCAACTTCAAGTAAACTTCGAGAGATATACTAGACAATGAAATGAATTTTTTTTAAGCCAGAGACAATGATAGACGCTTCAGATAAATAATCAAATCTATGATGTTACAGATGATCAATCCAGATCCAATATAGTCGTCATGCAAAATTGCAATGTTTCTTTGTTCTACTAATATGTTCCTAGGACAAATTGGATTGTAACTTGGACAGGCACTATTAGAACCTCTAACACACCCAACCCGCACATGGCCACCTCTCATTGGAACTCATAAGACGCCCATCATATTTCACTCCCTACGAGAAAGAGCAACCAAGAAATGATAAAACAAATATTGATTCTCCAATGCCAATCAACAACAAAAAATGTATAGATAGAAAAGAAAAAGAAAAATTACCTCCTGAGAGGGCAAAATCATTCCCATAGAAATTGATGCCAAGAAATATCTTGTGGGCCAGAACACTGTTTATATCGGTACCAAGGAGCTGCTGCAGGGTTGAATGAATCCACTTCAGAGGTGCATTGGGACCTGGATTTTGAGGCCCCGAGAAGTCATACATCATCAGTGAATATCCATCCACAGCATCACCCAAGCTCCGAAGATCTTTAGGTCCAAAATCGTGCTCTTGGAGCTTCTCTGAATGTGGTGGACCTATAACATAAACCAACTGCAACCGTTGCTTATCATTCCTCTCTAAGCTCACAGCATGCAATGCATCTCCAAGCTCTTTTATAAACTGCAATGCCTACACTTGCAGAACAATATAGATTCCTCAGATCTTACATATTTGAAAGAGGACATTTTACAAGCTACTAACACACAGAGAGAGAGAGAGAGAGAGAGAGAGAGAGTGCAAAATTAGTACTTTACCAAATTCCTCATGCTTGGATCATGCAAAATCCTGTAAGCTGCCCACCTTGACCAAGATTCCAGCACGATACCATCATATCCCATTTCCCTGAATAGAAATAAATCCCCCAAAAACCCAAAATTACACTTTTTTAAAATCAAAAAGTGGTTAGACATAAAGAAAATCGACCTTAATATTGGTAGACTACACAAACATTAAATAGTAACCAAAGTCCAACACAGTCAGAACCCTATTGTGTAGATTCTGGGCATATCTTAAGAAATAAACATACAAAACAGTCTAGATTGGAGGCCTACTTGCACTCGCTTACTAGAAGAGTAATAGCTTTACTCCTCTGCTTCTTCTTTGTCAGCAGCTCGGCTGGAAATGCTTCCAGAACAACTCTAGGCAATACCTGTACATTAGAAAGGTATTGTACATATGAGACTATCGGCCCATCTAGATTAAAATGTGTCTCAAATAAAAGCACAGGCAATATATCTAGGACTTATTAACAAAAATTTAAATTCTTTCTAAGTCGAGAATGTATTGATGAGACCTCTCCAATTTTATTACATGCGTACCCAAATTTTATTTTTCAATCACTGGTCCTGAATAGAAACCAAATCAAGAGCAAACGAGCAAGATCTACTCCTGCTATGTCTTATTCTGGCTTTTAATGTGTTCTTGCAGAATATACCAAAGCCAATAGTTTGCCATTGACCAAAAAGAGGAGGGGGGTTATAAAAATCTTCTCCATACCCAAGCATCTCCTGCCATTCTAAGCTCTGAGATCCATCCCATATCAGCATTATGCCTACCATCCAGAATTAAGCCCGTCCCTTGACTGATGATAAAAAGAATAAATTACTAAAAACTCATCCAGCAATGAAATAGTTACTCACCTGGTGCAAAACAGACACTAACTACATCACTATGTCAAACTAAGAAAACTGGAAGCGTACCTCTTTAGATCATACCAGACGGGAGATAAATGTGTAAACTTCGAGTTGAACCTTTTTGCCATATCATAGCCCTTAGAATTCCTGCACAATTTGATGTGTGAAAAGGAGTTCACAAACATTTCAAGCTCACTAATGCAAATATGTCTGATATGATTATATGAGAAACCCAGCTATACAAACTACTAACCAGATACCTACGTTGTCAAACAACGTCAAACTTTTACAACCAAAAACTGTGCAGAATCATATCAAATGCACCAAGCTATCTTAAACCAAAAGACCGGCACTTCGTATGGAAGAAAGGCTAACAAACCTTGATTCAGAGTGTGTTAGGGACCAAATGACTTCCTCAACTTTTAAATATTTAAATTCCAAATTCTTTTCTTCTCCTGTTTGAAATGTTAACTAAAATTCTTGTTGTATTTGGTTCCACAGGATGTGCTAGAGAATGGAATTCGAACACCTAAATTTTACAGAGAATAGAATGCAATCCCAAAAGGCATGGCCAAACAGACTGTAAGACATACCATGGAGTGATGTAGGCCAATACAGGGTACTTATAGTGCCTGCCAGTCGTATTTTCCGAGACCTTCGCATTTTCCTGAAATTCCCACAACAAATTAACAATAATAACATGAACTTTATTTCTCAATTTCACGATGATACAAAACAGAGTAGTGAAGCATAAAATTTTCTGTTTGGCTGCTGAGAAATCTGGGAAAAGCTTGAGACAAATCCAAACACTAAAAATTTCTTATCTTTCGTACATTTCCCGAGTAATAAAAGCTAAAAGATAGTATACTATAACTTCAGTTTCTCTCATTTTCCCACATTTTCTCGGCAACCAAACAGACCAAACGCAGAACAGAACAAGCTAGTAACCAGTGGGGTACTTGCAGTGAGGATCTCTTGGTAATTCACATCAATCTTAACTAGGCCTCGCTGGTGCACGTAAGACTGCGCACGGTTCGCGATCGGATGAGCATATTTGACGCGGTACGCGAGCACAGCGGCTGCTGCAGCTACGCAGAAGGAGAGGACCAAGGTGATTGTGAGCTTTGGGTCTGAGGATTGATCCGACGATTCAACTCGGTCTTTGCCGCGGTTCGAACTCGGCGCGACTCGGCGGTCTCTTTTCTTGGCCATTTGTGTCGTTGCTGGCTGGAGAGGAAACTGACAAGTATTTCTCAGTTGGTTTGTTGCTGAAACGACATGTCATATATCACACTTTGGGTCAATGTATTTAGATGGAAAAAAAAACGGCATGTCGCTCAGAATCTACTCTTCAATTTTCTTATTTAATATTCAAGTTACAACGGTGAAGAAAAATGATAGAAAAAATGAAGGAGACGTATTTAATAAGAACTATAATCATAAATCACATGTTTTAAAGTTGAGTAATACTACACTTACTATATTTTTATCCCACATTTCTATATCGCATGATGTTGTATGTCCATATCATATGCTACATCAATTAAATCAATGAAGTATATTTTAATAAAAAATAAAAAAAGTGCTAATCACATTAATTAGCTGATGTGGAATGTACACATCAGCTGCCACATCATGTGGTATAAAATTATGATATAGAAATATGGTAAGACTAGTATTAAGTTTTTATCATCTCACATTTGAAGATGACCCCAACAAAAAAAGAACATCTTGTACTTTTTTTTTATTGGGATCAACGTTAATTGTTGTGCAAGTACATACAAATGAAACTAGAATGCATACGAGGAGTAACCTAAGTAGGTTAGGGTTATGGTAAAGTACAATCCCAATGAAAACAAAAAGATAATCTTAACTTAGATTGTACTTACATGCTCATCACTTGTTTTGATGTGAACAGCTGCATTTAGGTGAACTAATCTAAGCAGGTAGGAAGAAACCAAAAAAATTAACAATAACCTAAGCATATGTAGTACAATCTCAATGAAACAAAGAGAAAAATGATGTGGCCACATGCAATTGGTTCTTAATTATTTTACGTCAACCTCTCCACTAATCGTCAATTCGTTATTCATCACGCTAATTAATCAACTAATTAACAAATTAATTAGTATTAGTTAAGTTGGTTTCAACTTTCAAGTGAAGCTTAGGGGTGTGAGATGCGGCACAGTGTGCAGTCTTTCTAAGCATACCATTTGGGATTGGTGAAGAGGTGTTAGGTGTTAGGGTTGAAGGAATATTTTGTATGAAGCAAAGATATTCAA